AATAATCACCAATTTCCCTATTTAATTTCATCCAAACAACTTCGATACGACATATATATAAATGATTGATCTAATTTTTTTTAAATATTTATTAAAAAGTCATTCTATCCATATACACACGTCCTATGTATAATATATTTTTTAAATTACACTTCTTTTATTTATTAGATAATAGAAATGATGTATTGAGAGAAGAAAAAAAATCATAATTCATTGTGTCATATTGACAACAACATTATTGTTGATAGTCTCGATTATATCGTCTATGGCATGTTAGAGGATAAATGAAGAAATTATCAAGGATATCACGATAAGTAGAACAAGCTAACAGAAAAAAAAAAGAATGATTTTATGTTAGTAATTGTAAGATATCAACAAAAGAACGACGGTAATAACATCACATTGCATAAAAGACGAGGAAAACAAGCAAGAAGAAAACCGCAGGCGCTGGTTTTTTTTATAACGTGTGCACATTCGTGTCCTTCTTCTTTTTTTTTCTTTTGATATGTATGTGTAATTTGTGCCATGCACACATTAATGTCAAACGAAAAGAGAAAGGCAAGAAAAAAAAAAAAGGAGAAAGAGAAGGAAGAGATGATGAGAGAGTGCTCAGACATTATAAAAAGAAAAAACGAAAAGTTCTTGACTACTAATCATAAAGAATGCAAATGAGAGTTATATATTTGTATTTCTCGTAATATATCAACCGAAACCCACCAGAGACGATTGCTTTCGTCACAGAGGATTATCGACGTCTATAACTGGGTATGCAATTAACAGATTGTTTTTTCTTATTTTCATGTAAACAGTTTCTATCGTCTAATTCAGTTTGCCAAATAAATGTCTATCTTTTTTATCCTTTAATTAAGAAAGGCTCACGACAATTTTCTTGAGAAACGTATATATTTTTTTTTTTGTTAATACAAATATTTATTATTGTCATTTGATATTGAGAATAGTCCAATAAAAAAGTCTCTTGTCATTTTCTTTATATATATAATAAGGCAATAAGATGAAAGTAATACAAAAACCGATAATAATCATCTTCGGTATAGTAGTTTTCTTTAATGAAGATAACAATTGTGATAGACTGATATTTTGAGAAAGAAAAGTAGTACCATATGTTTTCTTCTGTATATCGTACTAGTGATATAACAGTCGTTCAAAACTAATCTATGATTGTATATCCAAGCGTGCGTCTTATATCTTCTGAAATAGTAAGAGTAGTAAGAATATCAATTGATGTTCTGATAGGGCATCGCATACGTTTATTCTTTCTCTATAAATTCCTTCTTCTTTTATTTCATTTCACGCATCAGATCTAATTGTAAATATGTGTTCATCAATCATTTTTCTATTGCATCAAGGTAATTGCCTTGTTATCAATTGTTATTTACTTTAAAATGATAATAAAAGTATTTGTATAGATATATACATATGTATATATTTATAGATTACCTAAAGCAATTAACTTAAATATTAGTTTAAATAGAAGAATTTTATTACAACATAGATACATAATATTGCTTATATAACACTATTGATATAAAGAGAAAGCATCAAAATTCGTTATGCTTTAAAGCAAATTGAAAATAACAATTTCTTTTTTTTTTGAACTATCTCTATCTTTCAATAACGAACAACATTTTTTGTCATCAATCTTTTCTCTTTATTTTTATTTATAGCTGATGATTGACATTATTATAATTCCTTTTTTCTATGATCTATTATTCTTATACAGTCATCATCATTATTCTTACTGTCAATCTGTCATTTGCATGGACAACACCGTCCATAATCAAAGGTAAAACATTCTTATTAAAAAATGATACTTCATTAAATATTCGTCAACGAATATCAGCACAAGCTGATAAATTACAAAATATAACAACATCAGCTAGTGATCGTTTCGTAATTTCACATACAAATCATGAAGAAGATATTGAACATAATAATGATGATGATTTATCAATAAAAAAACAAATATCATCTGTTGTCGTATTAACATCATTATCAGGTATATATATTTGGTGGCCAATTATATTCGGTGGTGATGATTCTTTTCATTTATTACTTACGCAAGAAGATGTACCTCGTTTTCATGATGTTACTGGTGATGATCAAGGTAATATTTATTTAACAGCACCACATGAACGTAATGTTTATCGTTTACAATATTCTGATGGTTGGTGGATATCAAATTTTTCAAATCATTCAGTTATGAATTCAATTCGTAGTGAAATGCCATTATTTCTCAATATACATTATGTATCATCAATACTTTATGTTTATGGTCATTTAGATATACAAATAATTGATTTACTTCAACGACCACGTACACGTGGTTCAGCACCATTTATGAAACGTTTACGTGAATTAAGTCCTAATTTACGTATAAGTGATATGATTATTGATCAATTAACATCCGATGGTTATATTATAGGTGATTCATATGGTTGGTGTACAGTTATACGTTGTTCATTAAGTGTTAGTGAATGTGTATTTTTATTTAAAATTCCATCATCATATGATAATCGTCCATATCCATGTACAGCAA